CTGACAGGGTCCTCAGAGGCCACCTCTGTTGTCCCACCACCTTCCTGAGGTGAACCTAGGAAAGAAGGTGTGGCCACAGGAGTTGATGTCAGGGAGCTGTGATAGTAAACAGGCTATAATGTGCCTCATGACTGGAGTCTGCCTGGGATGGAGATTTTTGCCAACTGAATATGGCTTTGATTAGGGCTCTTCATGGGCTGACTAAAACCAGGCCATCTCCTCCCAGTCAGCCACAGGATGACCCAACAGGGCCTGTGTCCCTCTTCAGACATGAACATGGTTAGCTGGCTCCTGGCCTCACCTACTGCTTTCTCAGCCCGAGACAAGGCAGGAAGCACATGGAAAGTACCCCTGCCACCAGGGAAAACGGCTTCCTATGGGTCCCTGAGCTTGGCATAGCTGTATGGCTCTGGAGCCTTCCTGCTTCCACCCCCTCGGCCTGGGCTCCTGCCAGGGACATTTTGTCCTGCCAGCACACAGCATATGCTCCTAAGCTAAGCAGCATGCTCCTCATGCCAGAGCCACACACACAGGAGCACACTCAACCACACAAGCTCGGGTACAGGTATCCATGTCACACGTGTTCACATGCACACTGCTCCACTGACAGGCACAAAGTACAAAAGTGCCATATCTTGCACCTACAGTGCAGCTCTAGACATTTGGCCCAGTGCACGTTGAAGGCTGTGCAGGGGATTCGAGGTCTCAGAAACCCAAGGGCATTTAGGGCGTACTTGAGCAATCTGACAACTTAGGTGCTCTGTCTAGATCAGATGTCACAACAAGCATGCATGCTGGGGAATCAGCAGCCTCCAGTTTCTCGTGCTGCCTTTAGCCCTCTCATGGGGAAGGCAATGAAATGTTGTTCATTCTTGGATAGAGTTTTGACAAGAACCTGTGCTTTGATTTGGCATGTCTCAGACTATATGTTGTGATACAGGTATACCTGACAGTCTTTCATGTACCTCTTTCTCATCAGACACATCTTTAAGTGAGAATTTCTAATAGCTTTTCCCCAAACACTTAAAATTTATTTTTAATTAACACCTATTCATGTGGACATATTGGCAGGGCCATGTGTTTGAAATGCCTTGGGATACTGAGTAGACAGGAACATAGACATGGGGCTGAGCCCATCTGAAAGTTAGGAGTGGCACTCTGCTACCTGGGGCATGCCAGCCCTATGGTAGACCTGAAGACATTGTCCAGGATGGAAATGATGCCGCTTTCCCCCCAGTATCCCTGAGCTAACATTCTCAGGCGACCATACCTGGCCCTAGCCAGTTATCCTGTGTGCTCTGCTGGCACCAGGCTTGCAGCCCTGTAGGAAGAGGCTCAGCCCCCCCCCCAAGGTCTTTGCAGACTCCTGTACTTTCAGAACCTTCTGGGTGTCACTCAGCACCTAAGGCAACACCCCATCACTCATGATGGTGATGGCTTATTGGCTATCAGTTTGAAGCTAGGGTCTGTGTTGAGATGCTGTGGGAGTGGCCTGAAGTGATGGTCAAGATTCCTTCTTGCCATGTGATATCCAGCTGTGTCCACATCATCTCCTAAAAGCTGCCTGAGAACTAGGGATAGAGCTGAATGGAAGAGCACTCCATGATATGTGGGGGGTGCTCCAGGCTACTTTTCCTGGTGAAATACAGAACCACACCCGTCTTCCTCCCTGGCTCTGTGTCTGTATTGCTGTAAGTGGATAATTTATGAAGAAAAGAGATTGCTCATGGTTCTGGAGGCTGGGAGGTCACCGATCAAGGGCTAGCACCTCAAGAGTACCTACACAATGCCCTGGCATGTGACAGAAGCCACCGCATGTCAACAGCAAGGGAGATGGCCAGCGTAGCCCCCGTCCCAGCAATTTGTTATGGCCCTGAGAGTCCCCACTTCATAACATTGTCATGGCAGAGATGAAGACCACTGAACATACTTTGTGGGGATATCTTCAGCTCACCCCTGGTTCATGTAACTGTCATGACAGCTCCCACTGTGGAATGAAATCGGGGAGCCACACTCATGCAGGTCTGCAGGACTGTGTATTCTCCTCACAGCTTCTCAGGCCATTGAGGCAAAGACAAATGTCACACAGCATGGCCACCCAGACCCACCTAGACTTTCTCTGATGAGACCCCAACATCACTCTTCCTTCTTCCAGACTTATAGATATCACTTGGTAGTTTCTCATGAGCACCCAACAAGGTCAGGCTAGTGCTGCCACCAGCCATGCAGGGAACTGGATCGCAGGGAGAGAAGAGCTACTAGCTGCTGCCTTGGAACCTGGAAGCAGCATTTCCAGTGCTCTGCCCCAGAGGGCTGTCCTCTAATCAGCTTTTGCCACTGAAGTTTAATGAATTCCCTGGGCAAGCAGATTTTTCATGAAATAAAGTCACCTGACTGCATGAGAGGTCTGGAAGATTCAGGGGTCTGGTTTAGAATGGTCATGGTGCCAAAAGGTTCAGATAATGAATTCTGTGTCTTGGGGCCTTTGGAAGTCTCCGGGACTTTGGGAGATGCCTTCTGTTTGGAGCATCTCTTTGAAGCAGAGAGATGGCACAGTTTAGAGTGCACACTGCAAGCCACAGTGGGGTGCATAATCCAGAATCTGCTAGAGAGGAGCCATGCCTCTGCAGATGGCTAGGAGAGCCTTCTCAGTATGTGGCTGCACCTGGGATGTCCCTGATCCCAAGTGGACCATCTGTGCCTCTCCTGGAGGCCAAGTGGCTAAGACCTGTGCAAGGGAAAGGCCTCGGAAATGAATCTGCTTTTCTTCCTTTAGTTACTAGCATACATTTGTCCCCTTGGCAGCAAACCGGGATGTGGCAGGTACTAGGTTCCAAACATTTTTCCTGAGATGTTTGCTGGCTGGCCTTATACACCTTACACCACCTGCTCACTAAACTATATTGTTCGGACTTGCATGAAGAGATGGCACCCGTTGTTTTTTTTTTTTTTTTTGATTCAAAAGTAAGGCTGGCTCACCTTGGCCTTGGTGGCTGAGTCTAGTCTCATTCAAGCCTACATTCTTGAGTGTTCTATATCTCCTCAAGACATGGAGTCTAGAACTGCCATCCATTCCTTCTTAGGGAGGGCTGTAGCTTTGGACCAGAGCCCTCTCTGCCCCACCTTCTGCAATCTTCCTGCCCCTTCCCTTTGCAGCTCTCTGGGAGAAGCATGGGCCCAAGTGAAGAAGAGCCTGGCTGATGAGGCTGAAGTTCATCTGAAGTTCTCTGCCAAGGTAATCCTCCCCTTCCTCCAGTTAGACTAGGGCATGCTGATAGCTGGTTACCAGCTCTTTAGAGCTTATATTGCTTGCCATTTTCCATGGTTCCAAATTCTTGAATACAGACTGTGAAGAGATACCCATAGCCCCTTACACAGTCTCCACTGAACAGACAGCAGGGGAAGGGACCAGAAGTGTGTGCCAAAAGCACAAATAAGAGCATGGTGTAGGTATTGAGAAAGGATATAAGTCTAACTTTGTGATAAGTATGCTTACTATAATGTGACTTTTTAAAATTTCTTTTTAAATCATGGCCATTTAAGGGAGCAGCTCACAGTGAGCTCTCTGAAGCCATGGAAGGCAGGCAGCCCAAGGTCTGTGTGGTAAGAGTGGACGCCTCCTGGTTCACTCACATGAACCCCAGCCTCTCTTGGTTGGTTTCACAGGAATGGATTGGCATGATAGTCAGCTCTGTGTCTAGAACACTAGGTTATGTCCAGGAGAAGATTTTTGTTTTGTTTTGTTTTTCAAGGCAGGGTTTCTCTGTAGCTTTAGAGCCTGTCTTGAAACTCACTGTGTAGACCAGGCTGGTCTCGAACTCACAGAGATCCCCAAGGGAAAAATTTTTAAAAACGGATTAGTTGTTGCAGATTTCTGAATGCACCCCCCCTTTCATCTGACTCCAAGGCATTAGGACCAGGACTTTTTGAGTTCAGAGGTGATTCCATCATGTTCACTTCACTACAGTCAACAGTGAACACCTGTAGAAGTTGCTTAATAGATACCTTCAGACGAAATGAGCAAATAGAGCAAATAGAGCTACAGTTCTCAACCTGTGGGTCGTGACCCCTTTGAGAGTCAAGTGACTTTTTCACAGCGGTTGCCTAAGACTATCGAAAGTCACATATATTTATATTACAATTCATAACAGTCACAAAATTACAGTTATGAAAGTAGCAATGAAAATAATTTTATGATTGGGGTCATCACAGCATGAGGAACTGTATTAAAGGGTCGCAGCATTAGGGGTGCTGTAGAGCTTGCTGACCATCTCCTCATGCCCCAGGCTTTCAGCTCTGCCACAGGATTTCTCCCATGATTCCAAATGAGCCTGTTGTCTCTTCTCCCTGACTTATATCTCTACTCTTTCTTTCAGACTCTCGGCTCCTTTCAAGTGAAAATTAAGCTAAATATCTCAGTGCGATAATTCACACTAAAGCATGTGTGACTGGTAGGCCTGCCCACTGACATGCCTTCCTTTTAAAGAAAGAGAGGTTTTTGGCAGTGTCACCACCATGGTGACAGACCCCCCTCTTCCCTCTGACCTCTGCCACCAGCCATCAAAGGATGCTATCTATTCAAGTGCTGGAACACCCAGAGCCCCTGTGTTTAAGTACCAACTTTGTCATTTAAAAGTAATATCCTCCAAGACACTGTTCCTTCCTGAGGCTTCCACAGTTGCTGCTAGCCAGCCTTTTCTTTGCAGGACTATTCTCATTTGTCATTGCAGTTCCCTGCACTGGGGTCCTGTACAGTGTGCACTCTTGAAGGATAGGAATATGTCGCTCTACCAGCTTTCCCTCTGTGACGTACAATGTACACAGAAGGATGGAATGACTCACAGGGCTGAGACCAGGGGAGAACTTTTCAGTGAATAGTGCCGCTTCTGGCTCCTGGCTTCTGAAGGGTGTGTGTGCCTGAGATGAAGCTGGTACCCCGATGTGAGTGAGATTTCCAGCTCATAAGAGTACACTCACCCCACGTAACCAAGCCCTTCCCCAGCACATTGGCATAAGAGGCCTCTCAAGGAGGGAGCTCCCTGAGCCGCTGCCTTCAGCGCCACCACAAATGAAGCAGCAGGTTATTTTTAAGCCATGGTTCATGAGTAGCTTCCCTCTAAGGCCTCTCTCCTCTTGTCCCATCCCCCAGAAGTGCTGGTTTTCCCTCATGAGGTGGAGGCTGAGGCCACCAACACGAGGCAAATGGGTTCTGTCTCCAGCATTACACACAGGAAGAACCCTAACCTGAAGAAGCTCTTGCCCTTGGAGGGAGTACCGATGGTGGGGGTGCAGGCTGATTTCCCAAACACTCGGGACATTTAAAGCAAGGTTCACAAGCTCACAGACCCCGGCACTAAGGATGGCTCATAGAGAAGGGGTGTGCAAACACAAGGCGCAAACTTTACACCATCAGCAATTCTTCTGCTTCTGGCCTGGGTGTGTTAATGGCTCCAAGCTATCCCAGTAGCCTCCTAATAGTGGCCTGGTGATTTTTTTTTTTTAAGAGGAAGGAGACTCTGAGGATTGATTTGTCAGCCTTGAAGAATATGGTTCCCGAGGCACAAAACCTATTTTATGTCAGCTCCAAAAGGTTTATTGAAATTCTTCTCCATCTGAATGCTCAGTGTCGATGGTAAGCCTTTTAAGAAATGGGATTGCGCACGGCACACTCTCCAGCTTTGCCAGTCTTCCAGCTCAAGCCGGTGCTAATAGCAACAGCAATCTCAAGAAATGAGCTTGCTCTATTGGAAGGCAGTTAGAACTGGTCCTAGTGAAAGAGGGGAGAATAGACACATTCCTACTGATGGAAGGAAACCTGACCGTGCAGTCAGGGCATGTGCACAGGCAGATGCACCATCGGGAGGATGAATGTGAGCTTGTCACTAACAAGCTTTGTGAGCATGGGTGAATTACTTGGCAGCCTCACACTTCCATTTTTTATCATGTGTGAAATGAAGAGTTATAACCCGGCCTATGGCTTTAATCTTGCCTGTCTGTAACCACGGGAGGCATTTCACATGGTCACCAAGCATATGTGCAAACCAACCCCATACCCACTCAGAGGCACCATGTGTGTACCTTCATAACACTATTTTTATTCTGTCTAAAATACACCCTGGTTTTTTTCTCCACCAAGTTGGGTCAAAAACCCAGGTCCTGACCCACCACGTTGATTTCACAACTAGTCATTCACCACTTGGAAATGCCTGGATCAGAGAGTCACTGAAATCACTTCCAACTTGGAGTTCTTCTTCTCTTCTAACCTGTGATGTGAAAATAAGGGGTTGGGGGGGGCATGCCCCCTACCAGTCAGATCCAGTCCAGCCCGCCTAGTACAGGCCAGACTGGCCCCACATTCCACAGAAATACACTTTAAGAGAGATCACTGATGCCTTGCTGGAAGCAAAGAATTCAGAAATAAGAATGAATCTTAAAATGACACCAAACCAAAGCTTTTAAAGAAAAAATACGTGTTTTAAAAAGTCCTTGATATACAGCCTGGAGAAATATCTCAGTGGATAAAATACTCGATAATGCTCGATTGTGAAGACCTGAGTTCAAATCCCCAGAACAGAAAGGGTGGTGTGTGGAGTAAAAACACTGCAGTTCACAGCAATAGCCTTGAATCTCAGCTGAGGCACTTTAGGCAGTGTTTGTTGTTGTTGTGTGCTGTGCTGGGCATGTGCAGTGCAAAGTGCCATATAGTTTCAAAGCAAGACTGCTATGAAGTCTCATCATGTGACAGCTTAGGTTCATCACACATTTGATTTTGAATTAACTTTTGGTTGTTGCATGTGCACAAACCTTGCACTGTTGACAAGTTTGTGTAAGACCCACATTCAGTTTTATGTTCCCATGAGGGGGTGCAATGCAGCTTAAGATGCTGGGGGTTAAAATAAGAACATTCAAGTCTCGGGTGATCTCCAGAAAAGAAAAAGACAATGTCACAAAAATCTAAGCTGGAGGAGAGAAGAAAGTCTACAGAACCTCAGAACTGGGAGTCATCTGTTTGGGAAGCAGAGATGGCTATCCAAAGACAGGAGGGGGTTGTGTTGGGGGTTCCCCAAGGGCCTGACCAGTGGAGTTATAGAAGGCTAAGTCTGGGCAGGGGCTGGCAAGCTCCAGGAGGTTGGGTATGGAGCATGGGAGAGCACTAGGCCTCCCTCTTGACTGACTAGATCTGGTCTTATCGATCCCTGTTTTTACAAAAAATAAACATACCATGCTTACAATCAAAACAAATGCCTTAAAAAGAAATCTCAAAGAGGTGTGATGTGTGGTGGGAAGGAGGGAGCATGCTTTAAAAACAGATGCCACCAGCTCTTCTCACCGCAGAGGACTCCTTCTTGGGCCCTCAGAGGGAGCATGAGGTCAGTTGACAAGGGTGGGGACAGGAAGTGCACCTGGCTCCCCTTAGTGCTGCTCAGGACAGTTGTCTTGCGAGTTCCCAAAGGGCCTCCCAACAGCACCTGCCACAATTTCCTGGAGTTCTGACCAGGCTCAGGTCACCTTTGTACTCCAGGCACACAGCAGATGGTCAATAAATAGAAATGACCTGGGATCACCTGACTGATTGGCAGCCCTCCTAGTTATCTGCCGAGCTTCACACAACAGTCAATCTGCTAAGTGCTCGAGGACACAGGCAGGTGACATGGTCTATCTCCAAAAGGCTCCTGATTCGAAAAAGGCAAAAGAGGAAGACACCCAAACAAAGCTATACTAGAGAACTACACATTGTGAGACACAAGTGAGGGTACCCCTGCGAGGGTCCTTAGTGTGACTTAGTCACTGCACGGGGTACTTACTGTGAAGCACTAATCGTTAAATATGGAATTTTGGAAGGAGAAGAAGCTGTCATAGAGGCATAGAAAAGGAAGGAGTGAGCTAATGGGAGAATTGGGAAGTTCCGGGCTACCCATTCAGCGCATGGCTATCCTGCCTGGGAGCTGAGATGGCCAGTGCAGACAGCTGATAAAGATGCCCATTTCTTTAGCCTCTCTGGATGGTCTAACCACTGCCCCAGGGCCTGGCTTCTACAAGATGGTGGGAGGTCTCACTCCCACCCTGCACACCGAGTGCCTTGACACTGAGTGTGCCCTCTCCCTCTCCTCCACAGCTCCACAGTGAGGTGGAGAAACCACTTATGAACTTCCGAGAGAACTTCAAGAAGGACATGAAAAAGTGTGACCACCATATCGCTGACCTCCGCAAGCAGCTGGCCAGCCGCTATGCCTCAGTGGAGAAGGAGACAAGACAT